ACGGCGGGATGGATCCAGGACGGGCACGGCACTGCCGGGAAACACGGTGGGATGGATCCAGGACGGGCACGGCGCCACCACCAGCCCTGTCCCCTCCCAGCCACGGCGTCCTGGTCACAAACTGGGACGTGGATGGGCTTTGGGGACAGCCCGTGCAGGGGATGGGGGTGTTTTGGGGCCACCAGCGAGGCGTGGTGGCGGCGGGGTGGGTGCCCCAAGAGGCAGCTGGGGTGAAGCTGCGGGGCAGGGGGGTCCCTGGGATGCTGCTGTAGGGATGGGAACAGGGACAGGGATGGGGACAGGGATGGGGATCGGCCTTGCTGCTGGCAGCAGGTGGCAGCCGATGGCCGGGAAAAGCTCCTGCCCTCTGCGGGACGGGGACATGTGGCCGGACCGGAGCCACCATCGCCGGGCCACCGACAGTGGCCAGTGAGGAGAGCTGCGGCAACGACCGTGTCCCTGCGGGCGCAATCTGGGAGGACCCAGAGCCACTGGAGACGAGACTGGTGGGACTGGGGCAGCTCCCACATCCCCCTTTAATGCCCAGAAGCTCCTTGTCCCGTGTCCCCCCAGCTGTCCTGGGCCGGTGTCACCAGCGACAGGCAGGGGTTTGTCCTCAGAAACGCCGGTTTGGGGGCACCTACACACCCCATAGTGGCGTTTGGTGTCCCCAGCCAGAACAGTGGCATCCCTGGGGACACGTGCTGTGTGACAGCCCTGGTGACAGGGGACCTCCATCCCTCGCGGGGTGGGGGAGGCAGAGCGGGGGCTTTGGGGTCCTGTGTGAGCACCCGCTGCTCCCCAGGGATCGATCCTCTCCCGGCTCCCACGCAGCGGGATCAAAGCACGGGAAGCTGCCGGTGCCGGCGGCCGCGGGAGGCAGAGCTGGGCTCTCCCCCCTCCTCCTCCTCCTCTCCGGCCCCCCCTTAATGAGACAAACGAACTGCGAGCGGGCTGCGAGTGTTAATGAGAAGCTTCCAGGCTGAAGAAGACAAAGGTGAGATGAGCCGCTGCCAGGCGGGGAAGGGGCAGGAGGAGCCGGTGACCCCGGTTCCCGTGGGACAGCGCACACCCGGAGCTGTCCCACATCCCAGTGCTGCTCCTCCCACCCGTGGTCACCTTTTCCAGCAGCTGGGAGCTGCTCCTGAACCCCAGCTCCTCCCACGGGAGCTGCTGTGGGAGCCCAAAGAGGGGAGCAGGGCTGTGGGAGGGGGCTGGGGAGGCCCAAAGAGGTTGTAGGGCTGTAAGAGGGGCTTTAGGGGCCAAAAGGGGGTACAGGGCAATAGGGGAGGCTGTGGCTTAAGGGGGTGTCAGGTCGTGAGAGGGGCTAAGAGGGCACAAAGGGGACAGTGCTGTCCTAGGGGCGGCTGTGGGTGCCCAAAGGGGGTTCACGGGGTTCTAAGGGGTCACTGGCACAGTGAGGGAATCAGAGCAGGCCTCACCCAGCCTGGGGCTCCCTCTCCACCCTGCACCCCCAGCTGAACCAACCCCCCCAGAGTCCATGAGGACACAGAAAATGGGATCTGAAGCCATGTCCTCCAGCAGCTCCATGCCCCCACCCCAGCTCCCACCACTGGACACCCTCCTCGCTGGCTACAGCTGCTCTGGTAAGTCCTGGCACTCACCTCTGATCCTTGCAGGAGCTCCTGCCCCATCTGCTCCTGGGCTGGGTGGGCTCAGTGGAGCCTTGGATTTACTTTGGAAGCCCCCAGTCAGCTGTGGGGGATGGGGGAACACAACAGCACCCCAAAACCACACAGCCTGAGCCTGTGCTGTGCCTGCACCAGCACTGAGAGTGGCTGCGTGTCCTGGGGACACAGGGGGTGTGACATCCCTACACAGCTCCAGACTGGCAGCTGATGTGACCCCAGGATGCCACATGGATCTGCTGGATGCCTTGGCCCCAGTGCCAGGGCTGCCCCCTCGGCACTGAGCTGGGAATTGTGCTCCCCAGGGGCTCTGTCCATGTGCTTCCCTGTTCCTGGTGCAAACCTGCCAGTGGATTTCAACCCCAGCAGGGCTCTCACTGGGCAGACAGAGGCTCTGGCTGTCACTCCAGCCTGAACCTGGTGCTGTTTGCAGGGAGCAGTCCAGGTGCCTGGATGCTTTTCCAGCAGCTCCCAGCTGCTCACCGGGAGGTGCTGGATTCCTGCCTGCCACAAATCCCTGAGCTGTGCTGGAAACCTGCCCTTCCTGCTGCTGGCTCTGCCTCCCAACAAACAAACCACGTGCTGCTGTGGATACAGGAGCAGTTCCCAGCTTCCAGCACCTGTGTGACAGCTCCAGTCCATGCAGGGGGGGTTCCTGGGGGGCTGGGGGTGTTATAGCCTGATGGGGGATGCACGTTTGGTTCTACTGGGAGATTTTTAGGGATTCAGAAGGGAAGGCAGGGAGCAGAGCTGCCAGGTTGGTGGCCATGTCCCTCCTGGCCTGCACCAGCCCTGGGCTCGGCAGCCAGGGCTCAGCTGGTGCCTCCCTGGGGGTTCTGCAAGGTCACGTCTGGGGGCTGAGTTTGGGGGCAAAGTCCTCAGGGAGAGTTGGGGCTGGGGCTGCCTCCATGCGGGGGCCCTTTTGGGGTCACATCGGTGCTCTGGGTGGGTGTGTTGCCCTTCAGGGACCCAAACAGCCGTACCCCACTCCTTCACCAAGTGTGGGAGGTGCTGATTGTTTCCTGTAGCTCTGTCCCTTCCTGCCACATCCCTTCCCTGGCTTTGCTCCCTGTGTCATCACCGAGTGTTTGGCTCATCCTCATGAGTGCAGATTGTGTCCCCTGCAGCCCCCCGGGCTCCCTGGGGGGGCCCTGGAGCCTGGAGCAGGCTGAGGAGCTGCCCTGCCCCAGCCTGGGAGAGGGGTCTGTGCTGCCTCTGTGTCCTTTAAGCTCTGCCTCAAACATCAACTCCCAACTCTGTGCTGAGTTGGGCGAGTTCAGAACAGCCCCAGAACCAGAGACATTTAATCACCAGGTGAATTTGAAAAATATTTTTCCTTTGAAAAGTCAAAAGCAAAGAAAAAACGGTCAGAACACTGGAGATTTCCAACAGGAGGATGATCCGAGGCATCCAAGTGCCCTGCAGGGGAGACGCTACAACCCGGCCGGTTTCCTGAGCGCCCACCAGCAGCAGCGGCCCAGGTGGGCGAGGAAGAAGATGCCGGTGATGACGGCGAAGCCGATGCCCACGGCCCTCATGACGAAGATGGACTCGGGGTCGCCGGGGCTGCGCCGGCGCTGGGCCGGGAAGGTGACGCTGAGCCGGAATCCCGCCACCATCTCACCGTCCCTCCAGCAGAAGTAGGTGCCCCTGTCTCTCCTGCGCACCCGCAGGATGTGCAGGTGGTTCCCGTGGTCGATGAAGACCCTCATGCCCTTCTCAACGCCCACGAGGTACTGGGAGCGGTAGAGCCGGATCGAGTCCTTGTCCCAGCCCACGGTGTGCTCCGGGCGGGCCCCCGGGCACGCGATCACCAGGTCGGTGCGGGAGGGCTGGCTGTGGTACTGGATGGGGACACGGGGCGCATCGGGCTTCTCCCCAAACTTGTAGACGATGTTGGAGATGGACTGGACGCCCTCCTCGGGCTCCTCCTTGGGCCGGCACGGTGCCAGGCAGCTCCGGACGGCCACCTCGGGGCTGCGGAGGTGCAGGAGGGGCGGGAAGCTCACGGGCACGGCTCGGGAGCCGCAGGAGGTGACGTTGGGCAGCGAGGTGCGGTAGCGGGGGCTGAGCTGGGCGCTCTGCACATAGCACAGCCCGATGCGCTGCTGCTCCCCCCGCACCCCGCAGCGGTCGCAGCTGCTCCAGTCCCAGAAGGTGGTGAAGAGGCTGAACCGCTCCGCCACGTAGTCGTCCTGCACGTGCTGGCCGCTGTCCAGGAAGGCCACCGTGATGCGCCCCATGGGCTGAACGTCCACGTCGTAGCCGTAGAAGAAGTGCCCTTCCTTGGAGCCGCACAGGTAGTGCCCGGAATCCCTCACCTGGGCCCGGAACACGATGAGGCTGAACATGCGGATGCTGAAGCGCTTCAGCAGGTCGCTGCCCGCGCGGACGTGGCTCGAGTCCAGCACCACGGTGCCGTTGAAGTCCGTCAGCACCGTGGTCTCGCGGCCGCGCAGGTTCTTCCGGAAGTACCAGACGACGGAAGAGACCTCCTCGGGCTTGCACTTGCAGGGCAGCTCGAAGGTCATGTCCGCCAAGTAGGCGACGTTCTCGAACATCAGGAAGGCGGGACACACCATCTTCTTGAACACATCCCCTTTCTTCTCGATGGCAAAGGCCTGGAGGACACCGACCAGGCAGAGGAGGATGGTGGCTCCCAGCAGGCTCGGCCACATCGCTCCGGGCCAGCTCTGCCCCAGCAGAACTCATCCAGCCCAGCCAGGGATGTGCTGGGAGCGACCCTCCTGTCCTGGGACAGCCTGGCCTCTGTGACACCTGCTCTGGAACTTTCCTGCCCTCAGCAGCTCTGGAACACTGTCACGGGAACAATGGAACTGCTGCCATCTTATGGAATCACAGGGTCACGGAATGGCTTGGGTTGGACGGGACCCTAAAGATGATCTCATCCCAACCCCCCAGAGTAGAGGACGACCATCCCCTCCCTCACCCCCCTGGCCGCCCCTCTTTTGATGCACCCCAAGGATGCATTTGGCCTTCAGTGCTGCCAGCGCTCGCTGTTGGCTCATGTCCAGCATTTCCTCCACCAAAACCCCCAAAGTTCTTCTCTGCAAGGCTGCTCTCAGCCCTTCTCCCAATCTGTGCTGATGCCTGGGATTGCCCCAACCCAAGTGCAGCACCGTCCACTTGGTCTTGGTGAACTTCGTCAAGTTCCTGTGGTCCCACTTCTCAAGCTTTTCCAGGTGACCCTGCATGTCCCCATCCTTCTGCCGTGTCACCTGCCAGCGTGCTGAGGGTGGGCTCTACCCTCTGGTTCCTTAAAGGAAACCTGGGGCCGAGCTGATGAGGAACCTGGTCTGACTGTGAGAGTGGGGTGTGTGGAGCCAAACAGGGCCCCCTCAGGTCACTGGAGCCACCACGGCAAAGGGGCTTCGGTCCCAGCAGTGCCAGCCTGGGGGATGGAAGTGGGACTGTTGGAGCAGCTCCGGGATGGGAGACACAGAAGTTTCCTGAACTTCCAGTCCTGGCCCATGTCACATGCTGGAGACAGTGTTCAGTGTGCGATGATTCCTGCAAGGCACTTCAATAACCCAAGACTCCCTTGTGCATCTCCCGGGCAGCCCCTTAACCCACAGCCTCCCCTATGGCCCTGCACCCCACCCGTGGACCCCCAAAGGCCCTCTCGGAGGGTTCTGCAACTCCTTTACTCCTTCAAAGCCCTTCTCACAGAGCCCTGCCCCCTCTCCGTGCCCTCACGGCCCCTCGTACACACATTTCAGGCACTTACAGGCTCTTACTCTCCCCCACGGTGCCCCTCCCCAGACCCCGTTCTCTCAGACACTGCGTCCCCTCTGCTCCCGCCGCCGCTTTTAAACGGGCCGCGAAGCCCCGCCCCGCGTCCTGATTGGTCCCGCTCCGCCTAACGACTCCCCATTGGCCGCGCCCCGCCCGCGCCGCGCGGTGCCTCATGGGAGCTGCAGCCCCGCGGCCTCGCGAAGCACCATGGGAGCTGTAGTCTCACGGCCTTCTGCGCCCCCTGCCGGCGGCTCCCGGCACAGCGGCGGGTCAGAGCCCCGGGGGTCCGGGAGGGTCCGGGAGGGTCCGGGAAGGTCCCGGGACCCCCGGGCTGGGGCTGGGGCACTTCTGCTCGGGGCTGCGGCCTGCAGCTGGGATCGGTGCTGGGGAACAGCACCCGGACCTGCCAGGGTTTGGGGAACACACACACAACTGGGGACACACACACACCTGGGGGACATGGACACACACACACCTGGGGACACACACACACCTGGGGGACACACATACACCTAGAGGACACACACACACAGGCCTGGGACACGCACACACCTGGGGGACATGGACACACACACACCTGGGACACACACACACCTGGGGGACACACATACACCTAGGGGACACATACACCCTTGGAGACACACACACCTGGGGGGGACACACACACACAGGCCTGGGACATGCACACACCTGGGGGACATGGGGACACACACCTGGGGACACACCCATACCTGGGAGCACACACACACACCTGGGGACACACACACACCTCCACTCACGCCTGGGGGACACCCACACACACCCGCGGGACACTCACCCCAACCCCCGTGTCCCCAGGGATCCCATCCTCTGACCCCACCACGGTCACTCTGGACACAGCCGCTGGCCCCGGGCACCCGCTGTCACCTCTAATTGGGTCACATCCTGCCCACGCCGAGGCAGTGGGGATGGGCATGTGTGCCCGAGGGTCCCGGTGCCTCTGTGTGGCCTGATCGTGTCCCCCCCTCACAGTGGCAATGCTGTGTCCCCTCCATGAGGCCACCCAGTCTCTGGGGACAGGGACATGGCAGTGGTGGCACCCCCAGTGTCCCCAGTGGAGGTGGCAGAGGGGCCACAAGCACTTGGAGCCAGGGAGACCCTCCTGTCTGGGCTTGGATGAGCCAAGCGGGGTCTGGGGGGTGGTGGCAGAAAGACCCCGTCCCCAAGGTGGGGGACACCGGGGACACAGACAGCAGACGGGGAGAGGTCACAGCTCTGCTTTACCATGTTGTCGCCCCGGGGGGGGGGCAGGCCGGCGGCTCCCCCCACCCCCAGCGCAGCTCCCCAGCCCGGGGCCTGTGGGCACTGCACGTCTGTACATCGGGACCCCCCCGCCAGACCCCCGGCACCGCCCCAGGGAGGGGGGGAACAGGGGGACGGGGCACCGGGGGCAAGGGGGGCTCAGCCGGGGGGGGGCGGTGCAGTAGGGCAGCGCGGGGGGTCCCCCAGCCTTTTTGCCACCCTCCCAAACCCTCTGCAGCCCCAAGCCCTCAATTGGCAGCCGCGGGGTGACTTAATGGGAAAAGGAGGGGTTGGGGTGCCGTGGGAAGCCAAGAGCACCGGGCGGGGGGGGATCCAGGGGCCGGACCATGGCAGCGGGATGCTGTGGGGCTGGGCGGGAGCGAGGGAAGGCCGTGGGGGCTGTGGGGCAGCAGGGAACTGAACCACGGCACAGGGACGCCGTGGGGCTGAACCGCGGCACAGGGATGCTGTGGGGCTGGGGGGTCAGGGGCGTGCCGAGGGCGATGCTGTGGATCTGAGGGGTCAGGGGCGTGCCAGGGGAGATGCCGTGGGTCCAGGCTCAGTCCGAGTAGATGATGAAGCCGGAGAAGGTGCTGTACTTGTTGTGGTTGCCGCCGTGGGCTTTGCCCCCGTCCAGCTTGATGAACACCTCGTCCCCCGCGTCGAGGTGCAGGATGACGCTGTTACTCGCGTAGTCGTAGTTCTGGTCGGCATCCTGCGCGATGGCGCTGGCCCGGACCTGCCCAGGGGACACCGCGGGACCGGCTCAGGGCACGCCCCGGCCCGCGGGGCCCGCGGGACACCCCCGGTCCCAGCTCACCCGCGGCCAGGGGGTTGCACCCGCCTGGATCCCCACCCGTGGGTGAACAAGTCCCGCATGGGTGAGGCTGCTCCGGGCATCCCCCAGAGCCTCTCCCTGACCCGGCGGGCACAGATAAGGGACCACAGCTCTGTGTTTGGGTGGGGGACCATGGCACAGACATGGTGCTGTGACACTTGGAATCGGATGCAGGATCACAGCTCTGGGTTCTGATGTGGGACCACAGGTCCGACATGGGACCCTGAATCTGGGTTGGGATGCAGGACCACAGATCAGACATGGGACCATTGCTCCAGACTCAGACATGGGACCATGGCACACAGACAGGACCCCGACTCAGGATTTGGATGCAGGACGCCAGCTCAGAGACAGGGCCCCAGATCCAGAGTCAGATGTGGGACCACATCTAGGACACAGGACCCCAGCTCCCAATTCAGGTGTGGGACCACAGCTCCAACATGGAACCCAGAGCCAGGTTTGGATGAAGGACCCCAACTCAGACACAGGACTCCAGCTTTGGATTTGGATACAGGACCATGGCTCAGACGCAGGGCCCCATCTCTGGATTAGGATACAGGACCATGCCTGGGGCACAGGACTCCCATCTCCCAGCCCAGCCCCAAACCAACCCACTGAATCCCACACATCCCCCGGTGCTTCCCACGAGCTGAACAAGGACCACGAGCGTGTGGCAAGGGCTGAGCTCAAATCCCCCCCGGATCTCCCCCTCACATGGACCCCAACCCGCTGCGGGGCGGGGTGCTCCCCCCACAGAGCTCTCCTGGGAGCCGGGATGTGCCGGGAGGTGCCGGCAGAGCCGGAGGAGCCGTCACCGCCTGGAGAAGCGGCTCCGCGGCTGGACCCGCTGCCGCTGCAGAATTCTTTGGGTAATCAAATCTCCGCCGGCGCCTCGCGGGGAGATCGCGGCGCTGGGTGACAGTGACAAGGCGGCTGGTGAAATCCCGAGTGAAATGCAGAAGCGCTGCGCCGGGAGAAGGTGCCGCTAATTACAACCGACCAGAATCGGCTCTTAATTGGCTCGCGCCGGGCGGGCAGGCACCGGGGTCCGGGAGCAGCGGGAACGGGGGGGCTGTGCCCACGGAGTCCTGACAGGGGTCCCGGGGTCTGCTGCTCCTCGGGGATGCAGGTGCACCAACCCGAGCCCACGGGCAGCGATGGTGTGGTCAGATGCTGTTAACTCTGGAACCTACTGATGGCCCAGCCGGGGATCCCATAGGATTTGCTCTCACCCACCCAGCCTCGTGCCACCACCAGAACTGTCACCCTGTTCAAAGCCCCCCTGTGTCTTCCCCGCCACCACGAGTGTCCCCGGGGAATCTCCGTCGGTCACAGCACCGCAATCCCCAGGGGACGCTGCTTCTCCCAAGGAAGAGGAGAGGGGGAAGAAGCAGGAGAACCAGGAAAAGCCAGGTTTGGTTCTTGCCATGGTCCCCCCCGTGGCAGCCGGAGCCGCCCGGTGCCATCCGTCTTCCCTCGTTAAGGAGCCGCCCCGTCACCGCTTGCCTGCCAGCCCTTCCCTAACCAGGGAAGATAAATGGCAGCGCTGGGCCCGGGCTGCCGGCACCGCGCTGGCACAGGAGGGGGGGGCTGCCACCCACCCCCGATGGCCTCACCCCCCTCCTCCTGCGCCGTGCCTCAGTTTCCCCGTGGCTCAGCCGCGGGGTGGGAGCCCCAGGGGTGACACAGCCCCGGCCCCGACTGTGCTGTGCCCGCTACCCCTGACCCCAGTGACAGGGCTGGGGGTGTTCCTGGCCCTGGGGACACCCTGGGGTGGTCCCCAAGGAGGTGGGCTGCACCCAAGGGCTTTCTGGGGGTGACGAGGGGCAGTGGGGCGCTCCCATATCTAGGCCGAGTCACTCACGGTGACACCTGAGGCCTTGGGCATGCCTTGTACCCCACGTGCCATGGCCACCATGGCCCAGGACCCCGAAGGTGTGGCAGCAGGTGCCCCCCAGACGCCCAAATGCAGCAGCAGGTGCCCCCCAGGATCCCTGGGCACAGCCCTGGGAGCCCTCCAGAACCCCCAGAAATGGTGGTGGATGCCCTCCCAGCACCCCTGGGCACAGCAGTGGGTGCCCCCCCTCAGGCCCCCTGGGCACAGCAGTGGGTGCCCCCCCTCAGGCCCCCTGGGCACGGCAGTGGGTGCCCCTCAGGGCCCTTGGGTGCAGCAGCAGGTGCCCCCCTGGCCCCCCAGGCAGGGCAATGGGTGCCCCCAGGACTGCCCGGCAGGTCCCTGTGTGCCCTTCAGGACTGTCCCCACTGGGGTGCCCTGGGGCTGTGACCCTCCCTGAGCCATGGACGGCCCTCGCTCCACCATGGGGACCCCAAAGCCACCCAGTGCCACCCCCCTGTCCATCCATCTGTCTGTCCATCCATCTCCCCCCTCCCGCTGCCCCTCGCCTCAGCTACAGGCTAATACAAATAATAATTAATGCTAATCAACCACCAGCAGCAGCTCCCCTGGCTCTCATTAACTCCAGCCCTGACACGAGGGTGATGGGCTGCCCCCAAACCAGCAGCACGAGAGGAAATTTGGGGGGCCCCCCAAGTCCTGACTCCCTCCAAAAGTGCCGGATCAACGCTTACCCGCCAGGCTCCCCCCAGCTTGCCAGGGACAGGGATTTTTTGGCAACAAATCCCTAATTAACCCCATTTTAAAAATTATTTGGGGCATTTTTGGGGGGAACTTTGTCATAGATATCAGCACGGTGATGCCCTGTTAGTAATTAACAAGCGGTTAATTAAGCTGCATCACCCGCCCGAGTGCGGCTCCTCTCGACGAGGGGCTCCCCAGCTCCCGGACATTTATCCAAGAACATCGATATCCCCCAGAGCTGAGGGGTGGGGAGGTTTGGGGTGGTCCCCATATACGTTTTGGGGGAGGCAAAAGGGTCGAGGTGAGTTTTTGGGGTGCTCAGTTCAGAGTTACACAGATGCTGCTTGGGAGGAAGAGCCAGCAGTGCCAAGCAGCGCTGGGACACCCCAAAATTTGAGGCTGGAGGGTGGGAGAAGGCAAAAAAATCCCCAAAGAAGGAAATTTAAGCTGTTTGCATGGAGAAAAGCTGCCGAGCAGCTCCTGCTCCCGCTGGGAAGGGCTCTGAGCCGAGGGGTGAAGCACAGTGGCTGTGACAAGGCTCCTGCCTACCGCCACCCCCCGGCTGCTTTTTGGGGTGAAAACTCAGCTTTGGGTTAATTCGGGGTCCCACATCCTCGGAACAAGGAGGCACCGCAGGGGGTGATGCCGGGGGAAGCGGTGGGAAGCGGGAGCGGGGTGGGATGGGATGGATCCCGGCGAGGATGCCGGGCTGCGGTGACATCCAGAGAATGGAGCTCGGGTGACAGCTCGGGGGTCACAGCCGCGTCTTGTCCCTCGAATCGTGGCCGGGGGGGGCACATGAGATGGGAAAGGAGCACCTGAAAACGCGGGGGGGGCACGGCTGAGTCTTGGGATTGGGGGGTTCAGCTGGATGGGGTCGGGGGGATGGAAGGATGTGTCCCCCCCCCCGGTGTCCCCACACAGCCCGGCCAGGGGTGGGGACATCTCCCCTGGCACAGCAGCAGCAGAACCAGCTCTGGGCTGGGGATGAAGCTCCCCAAAAGTGGGGCAGGCGCTGCCCCCCTCGAGGCCACCACAGACATTGTCCCTGCCCCCCCCCTCCACCAGGGACCCCCGTGGGGACAAAGGCACGGCCGGGGGGGGTAGGGCACCCCGGGGGGGCTGTGGGGGTGTCCTAAGGCACCCCAAGGCACAGCAGGGCACATCTCTAGGGCCAAGGAAAGGACTGAGGGACCCTTGGGGACATGTCAGGGTGGGTGGTGACTGTCCCCAGCGCTGGGACAGGGACAGGGAGCCGGGGGAGCGTGTTTGGGGATGGGAGGGGGATGGGGCTCTCTGGGGTGGGCACCCAGAGCACATCACTGTCCCTGGGAGAAGGATGGGGCACCCCAGGGGTGCTCCTTTGGGGCAGGGAGCAGGACAGGGCACCCCGGGGGTGCACCCAGGGCCCATCACTGGGAAAAGGATGGAACATCCTGAGGGAGCATCTCCGGGGCTGGGAGAAGGATGGAGCACGCTGAGGATGCAGCTCCAGGGCTGGGAGCAGGACAGGGCACCCCGGGGGTGCACCCAGAGTCCTCCATGTCCCCGGGAGAAGGACGGGGGACCCCAGGGGTTACATATCTATGGGCGGGAGAAGGATGTGGCACCCTGGAGATGCACCCAGAGCCCATCACTGCCTCCAGGAAAGGGACAGAGCATCCTGGGGCACATCCCTGGGAAAAGGACAGGGCACTCCAGGGTGCAGCCAGAGCCCATCTTCACCCCTGGGAGAAGGATGAAGCACCCCAGGGGTGCATGTCTGTGGCTGGGAGAAGGATGTGGCACCCCAGGGATGCACCCAGAGCCCATCATTGCCGCTGGGAGAAGGATGTGACACCCTGGGGAGGCATCCCTGGGGCTGGGAAAAGGATGGGGCCCCTAGGGAAGCGCACACAGCCCATCAACAGCATGGGAGAAGGATGTGGCACCCTGAGGGTTCGTCCCTGGGGCCAGGAGAAGGATGGAGCACTCACTGGGTGCACCCCTGGGGTTGGGAAAAGAGTGGGATCCCCCAGGAAAGCGCCCAGAGTCCACCATCAGCACAAGGGAGAAGGATGTGGCACCCTGGAGGTGCATCCCTGGGGCCAGGAGGAGGATGGAGCACCCGGAGGGTGCATTGCTGGGGCCGGGAAAAGGAGGGGGCACCCCGAGGAAGAACCCAGAGCCCTTCTCCGGTGCTTGGCGGGGGCAGCACCGCTCCTGTGCCCGCGGAGGGAGCCGGGATGGGCAGCCCTTACCTGCCCGTTCTTGCAGAGGTCTGCCCACATGCTGGTGCCGTCGCCGCCGCGCATGAGGACGTGGTAGGTGAAGAAGTAGGTGCCGGGGATGGCGCAGGTGAACTTGCCCGAGGCGGCGTCGTAGCTGTTGCCCAGGTTGGTGACCACGTCGTCGAACTTGAGCACCTCGTAGCCCTCGTGGGGGTTCTTGAGCCCGGCGTAGAAGGCGACCCTCGGCACTGTGCTGTAGGTGGCCGCGCTCACCGCGCCCGTAGCCCCCGGCCCCGGCAATCCCGGCGGTCCCGGTCTTCCCGCTTCCCCCCGCGCCCCCACCGGCCCCGGCGGCCCCGGTTCTCCGGGCGGTCCCGGCGGTCCCGGTTTCCCCGGTCTGCCCGGTTTTCCTTGCGGACCTTGCACCAGCGTGGAGGGCGGCGGGAGGGGGCCGCGCTCGGCGGGCTGCGGGGGGGCGGCGGGGCCGTAGGGCTCGCAGACCATCCGGCAGGTGCCCAGCATCTCGTAGCGGCCGTCGGCCCCGGCGGAGCTCACCAGCACCGGGATGAGCACCACCAGCACCAGCACCATCACCACCCCCGCCGCGGCCGCCAGCAAAGTTTTGCGGCCCAGGCTGAGCCGCCGCCCGGCCGGGGCGCGCTGGCGCCCGGGGGAGGGAATGGTGCCGGCGGGGGGGAGCAGGGCGGCGGCGGCGGGGGGGTCTCGGGGCGGTGGCGGCGGCTCCGTGAGCTCCGCTGGCTCCGGTGCGCCCCGAGCCGCTCGGGACACGCCCACCCCGACCGGGAAACGCCCACCCGGCCATGGACACGCCCATCCATCCCCGGACACGGCCGTGGTCGGTGATAACCACGCCCTGGACACGCCCCTGCCACGCCCACCCGCGACCACCGGTGCTCCGTGGGAAGGGAAACTGAGGCAGGGGGGTGGATGGACCCCGGGTGCCACCCTGACGCCCCCACCAAGCGCTCGGGACCCCTGGGTCACCCCGGGCCTCTGTCCCCTGTCCCCACGAGATGCCACCCCCAGCCCCGAGCACCCCAAGCTGGGGACACCCCTGGGACCCGTCACCTCACCCTAACCCTAACCCCACAAAGGGACACCCACGGGGGACGGTCCCCACGGCACAGCCAGGGCCCATCCCACCTCCCTGCCTCAGTTTCCCCTCCCTCCGCGCTCTAGAGAAGTCCCACGCTTTTGGACAGCCCGGGTGACACCCACGTGGCCCGAGCATCCATCGCGGTCACCCGCGGGGTCCGTGGGCTGGGGCGTCACCGCTGGTGGCAAAGGCCACGGTGACAACGGGGCAGCCGCGGGTGCCACCGCGGGGGTGGCCGGGCCCCCCGGGGGGCTGAGCCCCGGCGGGCTCATGACATGGGGACACGCTGCTGCGCCCGCTCCGTCGCCTGCCATCTCCATCAGCCTCGGCGGGGACAGCGGGACGCGATGGCAAGTGACAGGCGCCGCCAGCGCCGGGGGTGAGCGAAGGACGCAGGGAAGGCGGGGGGGACACGGACACACGGGCGGAGAGCAGCCCGGGGGCCACTCCCAGTGCCGCCCGCTGTGGCCTCGGGTGACAACACCGAGGTGGCTTCAACCCTAATGGTACCTATGAGGTCCGTGGGGTCATCGTCCCGCCCCACCCCCAAAAAACAACACTGGGGGTGCATCCCCTCTTCCACTGCCACACCTGTGCAATGTCCCCAAACCCCAGGGGACGCACGGGGGACAGACCACTCCCCCCAAAAGAGGGGGGACCAAGGGGACGCTCGGCAGCCATCGATCGCCCCCGCGTGTCCCCGAGCTCCCGCAGAGGCTTTAATCAGCGAGCACAAATCAATTAGCTGCCTTTAAGGAGGCGATTATTCCTGGGGGCATAACGAGACGAGGGGGGAGGGGACAGTATTTTGGGGTGGGGGCACTGCCACCATCGTGTCCCCCCCTCAAAGCTGTCACCATCATGTCACCAGCTGCTTTCCCGGTTCTTTTCTCCATCGTTATCGTCTCCCCCCACCATCCCCCCGCTCCTCGTTATCTTTCTTTTTAACAAGCGCCTAAAAATACGCCGCGGCGAGGTCACGGGCTGCGTGAGTCACCGCCGGCGCGGGGACGGGGTGGCCCGGGTGGGCAAGGGGCTCTGCGTGGGGACGGGGTGGCCGTGGCGGGGACACGGGGGGTGGGACAGACATACCCTGGTTGCATCAGGGCACTCGTCTCACATGGAGGGTCAGAGGACATCCCTGGTCTTGGCCACTGCATCCTCACGGTGGGGACACAGCCCCAGGTCACCTCACTGCTGCAGGACATTGTGTGGCTCGGCCACCACCTCAGGCCACCTCATCACTCTGGGCAACCCCGTCCCCATGGCACGGCCACCAGCCCAGGCCACCACATCCTCAGCCCGGCTGCAGAGCCAGGGCAGCTTCAGCACCACCTCGGGACGGCAGCGCCCCGTGGGTGGGGACAACACCCCCGGTGACACCGGCTGGGGACCCTGAGGTGCTCGCTGTCCCCAACCCTTGCACAGGGAGGGGGTGCAGTGCAGTGCAGCCCCCCGAGCCGGCTCCATCCACCTGGGGATGGACAACAGGGCGGTGAAGCTCCAAAGGGCCACGTTTGGGAGTGCAGGAGCAGGGAAAGGGATGAAGCTGGGAGGTGGCAGCAGTGTCTCCACTGGTGACTCCAGTGATTGTGGTGGCAGCAGTGGCCGCGGTGGTGGCAGTGGTGGCAGCAGTGTCTCCAGTGGTCGTGCTGGCAGCGGTGGCTGTAGTGGCTCTGGTTGTGGCTGCAGTGGTGGCAGCACCTGTTGCAGCGGTGGCAGCAGCGGCGGCAGCAGCGGCTGTGGTGGTTGTGGGAGCAGCAGTGGCTGTGGGGGCTGCAGGGACAGAGGCTGCAGTAGTTGTGGGGACAGTGGTGGCTGCAGCAGTGGCTGTGGTGACAGTGGCTGTGGTGACAGTGGCTGTGGTGACAGTGGTGGCTGCAGCATTGGCTGTGGTGACAGTGGCTCTGGTGACAGCAGTTGTGGTGACAGCAGCTGCAGCAGTGGCTGTGGTGACAGTGGCTGTGGTGACAGTGGCTCT